CTGGCATAGAACTGCATGGCGCCATTCTAAGATGTATGCCCCACATGTGTCTAGATAGAATGTAACCAAAAATTTAAAGTATGTCTCTCTCTCTCTCTCTCTCTCTCTCTCTCTCTCTCTCTCTCTCTCTCTCTCTCTATCCCTCCACCCATCCATCTATTTACATATCGACCTCTTTATCAGTTCATAATCTATGCATCCGTCTACACATCTTTGTATCTACTCTTCATCCATCCATCCATCCATCCATCTATCCATCCATAACTACAAAATTATATATAAAAACAAATGGACCTTAATTCATTTCTTTGACTATAACGTACATAAACAAATGAATTGTAGCAATTGTCCCCCACCATGCTCCTCGTTAGCAATCTGTCCGGCATCTTCAAAGAATGATTAGCGTTGCTGTGTTTTAGTTATACAGAGGTTAACTTGTTATACCTGTGAGACAGTTTCTGTTCAAATGTTACATACAGGTACAAGATGATCTGCACACTTAATAAATTGGCAGCAGTTTGAGCCTGGAAGAAATGAATTCACTTCGCATTAGTTTGTTTGGGAAATGTTTACAGAAGCTTGGACTGGGTTTGACTTTTGTACTTGTGTTATAATGTTGTCAACTTTATGGAACATCAGCCCTGCTCAGGTCAGGCCCGTGGAGCCATGGCGTGAAGGGTCTGGACCAGGAGGACCGCACACAGACAGCATGTTTCCTTCAGCGGGCGCTATAACCCCTGAGCACACATGGCTGTAATAAGGCAACACATTAAGCCATTATGCTGCTTTTAAGGTACGCACACACATCCGTGTTTAAATTGTTAAGAGTAGCGAGGGATCCCTCGCTCTCCAAAGTTCGACTGTTTGTCTGGGACCACCACGGATGTCTCAGGATGGGCATACACCTGTGTTCAGAGTAGGAGTAGTGTTTTAAAAACCTGAGCAAAATTATTATTTGTTATTTGTATATGCTACATGCAAATGCATTCACAACACAGCATATTCTAACCATTCATTTGGCATCCATCCACCCATGCATTATCTAATTCGCTTATCCTAACGAGGGTCGCGGGTGTGCTGGAGCCCATGCCAGCTATCTTTGGACAGTTGGTGGGGTAGACCCTGAACCTGTTGCCCGTCAATCGCAAGGCACACATAGACAAAAATGCTCACAATCACACCTTGGAATAATGAAGAGTGTTCCATTAACCTGCCATGTATGTTTTTGGAACGTTGGACGAAACTGGAGTACCCGGAGGAAACCCACGCAGGCATGGGGAGAACATGCAAAGTCCACACAGGAAGGCCGGAGCCGGAATCGAACCCTGCGTCTCTGCACTGGGAGGCGGACGTGCTCACCAGTCATGCATCGTACTTGCATCCATTTGGCAAAATATGCAAATTCAAAATCTTTGTATTTTTAAGAATTCGAAATAATATGAGGCAATGCAGTAGATTAAACATATCATATACAGAATTCCCTCTTAATTAAAAAAAAGTGACTCAACAATTCAACTGTTAAAAAAAAAATTCTGGCTACACTCAAAGAAGTTGTTGCTGTTTTTATTCAGTTTTATTTCATCAAGTGGTTGCACAAAATCAAACCATCTGGATCCAGATACATTTTTTAAAGTACACTCTTGATCGACTTGTAGCCTTGTTTAAAACACAATACAACCCAACACATCGTTATTTATATAACGGTTTCACAAGAAACTGCAGCTGTAACAAATCGTTTTTGAGAACATTTAACATAAAATTACAACAATGCAACAAAACACATCACATAAAATATTGACAATAAATATCCCTAAATGGGGAGAAAAGCTGCCCGGCACAGATGTGTGAAACACCAACACATATTTCTCTTTTTTCTTCTCTTCATTGTTTGGAAAGCCCATTACAGCCTCAGTAGAGAAGTAAAAACTAGACTCGGTGACGTCCAATAGTTGTTGAACCACACAAATATTCGTGGCGCAAAAACAAAAAAAGAAAACGGGTACTAAAAAGATCTAGGTAGTGTGTCCTTTCTAACTATGTGAGGTACCTCAGTACATTTTTAGTATCAGTACAACGGGCAATTCTCGTGGTTAGTATGTCCGCCTCACAGTTATTTATTTACAAGATGTAGTTGTGTAAGCCATTTCAGAGAACAGCTTCACATCTGTGTTGCATGGAGTCAGCCATCTTGGTTCTCGCACGAACAAATCGAGGTGGGGAACGGCGATTAATGCCATCTAATGACGGGGTGCGTTTCACCTATAAAAGCTCATTACGACGACAGTGGAGTAACACGGCTTGCTCGGAGGAAGTTCTCCTTCTACTGACAAAAGCAAGAGTGTGTCGTAAACTTCCTAAATCAACACCCCCTTCCATCGGGCTCTAATAAATTAGCTGGCATTTTTTTCCTGAGCTTTTCCAACGCACTCTCTCCGTACCGTAGGCGATGAAACTCTGCCAGGATTCGGGAGTCCATCGTGAGGAATTTTAATCGTTATTTTTATTTATTTTTTTAATAGTTTTCCATGCGCCATTGGAAAACACATAAAGAGACAGGAGGAGGAAGAGAGGGCTTCCCTGGGATGTTGGGGAAAAAAAGCAGGCCATGGTGGGAAGACTGTGAGCTCTTCTTTTGGTATGTTGCGTGTCGTCAATAGATGGCAGTAGGTCTCACCTGTTGGCCATTGTGGATTTATGAAGGCAGCAGTGGGGAAAGTGGGAAAAAGAAGAAAATAATGCCCGTCTTACTGTTGTTTGTTTCAGCAGAAAAAGTCATCATGTTCTTGGCATTAAGTCATTTTAACGTCTCATACAAACCTGATCGAAACTGTTTGAGAGCAGCAGTGATCGTTCCAGAGAACTAATGCTGCAATATCATCATTCACCAATACAGTAGTAGACAGTTTGGTGTAAAATTATTACGTTTTTATCAGTAAAAAGTTTTGATTGTAATATAGTGACTTTATTATTTTAATATGGCTACACTGTATTCCTTTAAAATACCTTCGTTTTTAAAGATATTACAATGCAAATATAATTTATCATTCTTTTCACTACCCCAACAAATTAATTTATTTTACAGTTTTTAATCACATGAACTTTGCACGTAATTTTACTTTATTGCCATATTACAATTTATTTGTCACGTTACTTCTACTAAAATGAAGACATTGTTTTTTTTAATCAAAGATGTTTGTAAACTTTTCGAAAATAATTTTTGCGCTGATTCCAAATCTGCCCTTATTTTATTTTTCTAGCACATCAGTTTTTCATCATAATGATGATGACAATTTAGTTCCCTTTAGTTCACGTTTTAAAGAAGATATACCATTTTACACATATCAATATAAAATAGACAACCATTCACTTCAACGATATTCATATTTGCATCAATCAAAAATCACATTTTCAATTCAATATGCTGACAGGATTACGAGTCTGAGAGCATATTTTGTAAATAGTTAAAATGGGCAAGAGGACAAAAAGGGACCAATAGGCAAGTACAGTATACATAACATCTGATAAAAGATTTTACACATAACAAGGCATGTTTATCCAACGTTCCTAAGAGCTAACACTGCACTTATTGTTTATTTAGAAACTTGTTCACACCACTTCTAGTTCATTACTTAGCCGACTGATGCTAACTTTAAGTCAGCAATGATAATCGTAGGATGCTTTATATTGTTACCTTTACAATAACACTTTGAATATGTTATACCCCTTAAACATCATTTTAAGAAGTGTAATGGACGGACTGTCATGTAGTGCGTGATGGTAGAGGACCAAAAAAAGGGTCCGCGGACCGGCGGTTGGGGACCCCTGATGTAGTGCGTGATGGTGATGGTAGAGGACCATAAAAAGTAGGGCAGCAGGAGAAGCAGGGTGTACTGAACAAAATATACTGACAAATACACTAAATCACCAGCACAAACAAAGCCGAATAACTCAAAGTAACAAACAAACAAAACGTATCACAGTAGCAACAAACAAAGCCGAATAACTCAAAGTAACAAACAAAGTAACAAACAAACAAAATGCATCACAGTAGCACAAGCAACCAAAGTCCTGAAAACCAAGGTAACATACAAACAAAAAGTCATAACAGAAGCACAAAACTATGAAAAACAAAACATGACAGCAACAAAAACAAAGCAAAATGACAGTAACACAATGATCCAAGTGGTAGGGCTTGGCTGTCCTTTTAACAAAAAAGAGCTAATGACATGATAACCAACAGGTGTGAGAAGCCCTCCAATGCCACCTGTTGGTCACAAACGGAAAAGAACCATGGCAGTAAACTATGAAACAAAACCTAATCTAAATGAAAACAGAATCATGACAGTACCCCGTCCCTCAAGAAACGGATCCCAGATGTAAAAAAAAGTCAGCCAGTGGTGGCCGCTGGATGTGCAGCGCCGGAACAGGAAAGGGTGGCAGCTGCAAGCCGTGTGCCGCCGGAACAAAGATAGATAGGTGACTTCTGCAGGATGAGCACCGCTGGAGCCAGGTGGTAACGGGATCAGGCCTCTGGTCATGTGGGGTCGATTTTTGGTCAGATCGTTCTGTCGTGTAATGCGTGACGGTAGAGGACCAAAAAAAAACAAGGAGGCAGGAGAAGCTGTGTGTACTGAACAAAATATATTAACAATCATCATCAGAGTGATGACACAGACGATTTTTATTGATATCAGAAAAGATCCGTGGAGCTTAAGAATTAATGGGCAGGTTTGTATTTTTATGTTTTTTTTAACCGCAAAAAAAAGATAAACCTCGAATAGGTGTTTTCAGTGAAAAAATAAAAGGAAAACCTGAGAACACGTGAATCCGAACCGCGACGATCCCGCGATCCACTGCACTGTCAGCAATCCACCTGCCCCACGCTCCTCGAGCTTGTCAATCACCACATGTCCCACCAATCACGAGACGAGCCTGCCCCGTGACCCCGCCTCCTCTCGCCTTCCCCTCCCCACTCCTCCCCAGCGTGTAAATTGAAGTTTCTCTTCTTAGTTTCCCGACTCGCAGCCTTGCGAGTCAGTACAGCGCGAACCGCGGAGGGATTAAAAACAAGCACGTCGAGTGGAGAGCAGCGGAGCAGCGAGCCCCATCAACCACCACCACCATGTTCCCCGGGAGGCTGCGGGTATGCGCGGCCCTGTGCGTGTGGATTACGGCGCTGGCGAGCACGCGGAGCGGCGGCGTGGGCGCGAGGAGGCAGGACGACTCGTTCACGGCGGCGGCGGCGGCATCCAGCGTGTACCGGGCTCGGTGCGCGTCTCGATGCCTCAGCCTGCACATCACGCGCATCTCCGCCTTCTTCAAGCACTCGCAGGTACTCACTCGCTGGTGTCTTTTGTGCGGCAAACACAAAAGTACATGCACGCCAAGTGTAGAACGCATGGGGACAAAGTTGAATTAAAGCATTCAGTTTGTGTGATTGCTGCAAACCCCACGAATTCTTGTTTGAAGCGACTACAGGACTATAAACAGCTTATTTCGGTCAATTAAACGCAATCAGTTAAAATCACTTTTCTTTAATTTATGGAAACAACTTTGGATGATGCTTCTCAGTGAACATCAGCAACATACCCATAACTAGATATCAGGACTTCTAAAAATTCTCTCTTTCTAGTTATCGAGCTGGAGTGTGTCCCAGCTGACTGAGTAGGGGCGGGGTACACCCACGACTGGTGGCCAGCCCATCGAAGGGCACATTTTCTTTGAATTTCTCAGTTTTTTCACTTAAGACCCTCTTTGCCACCGAAAAAAGTCCATCTTCAGAAAGTATCACGACTTATCAGTCAGGGGTTTTCAAACCTTTTCTGCCAGTCAAAATTAGTTACATTTTGAATCACATTTTCAGACAGACACATTTCGTTGGACAGCGACTCCATACTAAAGCCGCTAGTATTAATACTTTTGAATCAGAGTTTCTGAAATTTCACATTTCTTCCCAATCTTCTCAAGCTTTTCCATTTAAGACCGGGATCTATAAATGAGAAAACTTCAAACTTATACCATGCATTGTCATAATATTGACATACTGAATACACCTTTCTTTGATTTTTGGCAACAAAATTTGGCGATACGTGTTTTTCAATGGCCTGGGACGGTATGCAAAGGTTACAGAATCCGGTTTTACTTACCCTCCCCTATTTATCTCTTAATTTTCCCAAACATCTGCTCGAGACTGTGTCTAGAAATGAGAAAAACCCAAACTTGCACTCTAAAAACTGTGAACCAACCTGCTACTTGGGCCAATTTGACCCAACGTTTTAAGTTTTTTGGACAAAAAGACCATTTTTTTTTAGGTTGTTTTGGACAAAATGACCAAATTTTGCATCCAATTGACCCAAGTAGTGCATCTGTCTCTTTTTGATCCAAATTGGGTTATTTTTGACCTAACTGGTTGAATGTCATGCATCACCTTTATCAGTGACATACAAATATTGCGCTCACTTTTTTTGCTGAGGTGCCAAATATGAATCATAGTTTCTCAAATGTCCATTTTCGTCAATTTCGTTTTAACATTCTTACACGTTTTCACTCAAAACCCAATTTCCAATTGCAAAAAAACCCCAAGTTGGGAAAATATATCTTGCGTTGTCATAATATTGACATATATTGTCCATTAATGAGTGGTAACCCACACCCAAGACCACCATACATGAAGAACGTGAACGAGGAAGCCTTTTTGCCATGAACTTGTGTATCCACTTGATGATGATCCTAACTGGCGACGCATGTCGGGGGTGGAAACGCCCAAATTTGGGCAGGGCTGCTTGAAAACAGCGGTGATGCTGTTCAGGCGCAATCCAGTGGATGTTTGTCTTGTTTTATTTCTATCAACACAATTGGGGAAAAAGACTCTGAAGCAACTTAAAGTTGACGCCAACACCTCCAATAAAATGATGTGAAATGGAACGGCCCCACCGCCCAGCCCACCCCCATCTTGTATATTCATAGGGGGATGCTGTCACTAGTCTGCGGCTCCCGCAGAGGGACGCCGGCGTAAAGTAGCTGCATTCTGCGCATGAGTCAGTGTGTGGTGTCACAAGTTGTTTTTCACACTCCGGCGGAATCACCGTTCTCTCCGGGGACGGCGGAGAAAAGAAGCGGCCGCTGATCCTTCAGCTTTCTGCCAGCTTCGCCTCTTCTTGATGCTCATCGCATTTGCATTTGCAAGGCCCGCGTCGAAGCCGAGCCATTGTCTGGAAAGCGTCGCCGGACCTGGGCAGATTTGTAATGAGGCCTAATTAATCAAGAGGTCAAGGCTTTTGTCTCGGTGTCACTTTGAAAGCGCTAATTGGACAAGTGGCAGTGGTTCTAAATGCGGGATAATATACACATTGAGTGAAGGAGTCACTTGAGTAATGAGGAGAAAGAGAGAGAAAAACAAGCGGTGATGCACATCCAGAGGACACTGTGTTTCTTATTAAAGCGCAACTTGGCGAGAAATGTTGAGAATTTGTTGGTGGGGTTGTCCAAGTTATTTTTTTAATGGCTGCTTTGGGTTTGCAAAGTTACGACATTGAATCAGCCACCAGCTGGCTCAACGCTACGACGCCTGATGGAAGAGCTTCCCCCTCGTGCGCTGCAAATATTCGACAGTTGAACCTCTCGGGTCGCACGCCTGTCATTCCGGGACGCAGGTCCACTTCCGATTTGGAAATAATTGCAAAGTTCTGTTTCTAGGTCAATCTGTCCCCACCGTAAGTGATTTGTGAGCGAGCTGATCGATGAGGTTTGGACGATTTTTTTTTTTCAGCTTAACTTTCACAGCAAGCAGCAGTCTGGCAGATGTTCAACAATTCTTCCCAAAAAAAAAGACTTAAGTGGTTTGTTTGTCTTTGCCTTCGTTTAGCCAACACAATGAAAAACACCACAGATGGTGTCGATGCTAACGAAACGAGCATAGATGTCATCGTGTTTTAACCCTTTCAGTAACTAAGATTGGAACACAAACAGAACGCAAACTGTCATCAAAGCAAAGTACTGTGAGTGCGATACGCCGAGCTCTTGTGTGGTTTGATCCATGACCACCACACCTTTACCGCAACGTTTTGTGAGATTTTAGAATCCAGACTTTTCAGGCTATTGCACTCCAGTGCATTTTCGGATAAGCAAAGCAGCACGAGCACCTCTAAAAATAGAAGGCCCAGTGTTGATAATATGCAACTGTCTAATGCACACTCCTTTCATGTGGAAATGGTGTGTGAGTGTGTATTGGGTGTTGTTCAGGGTCTGGTCAGCTGCGAAAACACATGGCACTTGCTCCCCCCTTGCCCTCGACCCCGCAATAAACGCAAGCAAATGTAGCTGCGCGGAGGGCTTTCTTTCTTGCAGGGAGGTCACCTTCCTGCTAAACGCTGGCGCCTGATTTGCGCTAAACGTGCTAAGCTACCGTGCTGCAAGCGTTGTCGCAAACTGCGGGTGGATCCGCTTCCCAACGGCATGGGATCTCATTACGCTAACAGGCGTGCAAGCAACTCACACCGCCGCTCTAATGGCTAAGGTCTTAATTTGGGGGTCACTTGATGCGTGACGGGGACACCTTACATTTTAATGGACGTGAAGAAGTCTGCTTTGTGCCGTTTACCTTCATTGCTAAATTAAACACGTAAATCTTTTATCGGGCTATTTTTGAAAATGTGTTCCTCACTTCTCTCTCACCTTTATTTCAAAGTTGGGCTAATTTACTTGAAAACCACACCCACACCAAGTTTCTCTGCTCAGCTCCTAGATCTGGGATTGTCAAATGTTGCACAGAAACATAATCATGTCTAAGCCAAAGGTAATTTAATTATAATAATAATACATCTTCGGGTCGTAGAGTGCCTTTCATGCAAAGCAGAGCTTGCACCCCAAAACCAAGACCCAAAATGGCGGAGGCCCTTCATGCAGAAACCTGGGAATGGTTTTCAATTGTGAAAAAAAAAGCACAATCCATCTCTTTTAATGCCACTGTTAATCTATAGAACCTGTCACACGATCTGCTTTAGCTGAATGAGATATTTCACAAGTCATTTAAAGATCTGTTTCTCATTCTCTGAATCATCTTCACTGGATTGGATTGACATTTGGACGATTTAGCACTTGCAGATGTCAGCGAGGAACCTTTTTTTTTTTTTTTCCCCTAATGTGGGAAGCTCTGAATTTTTGTTTTAAATTTCAGAAAGAACTTTCGAGTATGCTTCGTCCATCGCTTGCCAGCGTTGTAGACGAGCTAATGATGTCATAGCGGTCGCCAGAAGCAGATTTATTGACACATCGCTCCACATTTGGGGAGTTTGTCACCCTCAGTTTAATTGACAGTGGGGCAACACCCATGCATTCGATAAATATTAGCCAAATGTAAGGGAGCGAGCTGGGAGGCATGCGCTAAGTGGGCTTTCTGAACACTCAGTCTTGTCGTGGATTATTTATGTGAAAAGCAAAAACAACCAAAAAAACAAGGAGTGCCCAGTCGAGCTCTTGTTAAAGCCATAAAAATCTGACATATTCAATTGAATGTTTTATTTCTTGAAGTGAAAGAAATTAAAACCCGTCGGAAAGAAAGATTAGCCCTTGTTTGCGTCTTTGACATAGAATTGGTCTCAGTGGAAATCGGACCTCCACCAGGACTCGTCTCGCGTGTGGAGGTCTTCATGGCTGAAGACGGTGGATGAATGGGGCTTTATGTGGCTCTGCCCCCCCCTGTAAGTGCTTTTGAAGCACGGCACTTGCCCCCATAAATCTGAGTCACACTTAAACGCTGGACAGTGACGCTTCATTTTTACTGGAGACAAAATCAACTTCTAGTTAGTGGGTCTTCATGGCTGAAGACGGTGGATGAATGGGGCTCTATGTGGCTCTGTTTCCCCCCCTCTCTGTAAGTGCTTTTGAAGCACGGCACTTGCCCCCGTAAATCAGAGTCACACTTAAACGCTGGACAGTGATGCTTCATTATTACTGGAGACAAAATCAACTTGTTAGTATTCGTTGTCCAAAATGTTGCACTCTACACCTTCATAAACGTCAATCATCTGCTTATTGATGTTGAATCGTCATTCATTCTTTATTGAGAGATGACCGAAATCTTCAAAGTGGAGTACTGTGAGGATGATCTGTGCTGAAATATAAGGTGTGTTGGATTTCCCACACCCTTCAAAACGGTTTCATGGAAATGTGAAGTGAAGTAGCTTTTGCCTCCTCCTGCAAAAAACAAAACACGTAACAGAGTGTACATTACAAGCGTTGTTGTGGCTGATTATTTTCTGGATCCGTATTGTGGATCCCAGTTTAGATTTGTTAACATGGAAAAACAAAAAGAAATTTCAATAACATTTGGTCTGCGGCTAGTTAAGAGTTTGGCGGATCACAGGACGAACTGATTAACTGTGTGAAACTGGGATTTTTTTTTTTTTTTTTTTTTTTGCTCAATAAATTGTCAGCAGATTTCAATGGATATTTTCGGACTCAAGGACAAATCCTCCGATCACCGTGGATCATTGTCTTTAACACGGACGTTTCTGAAACTCATTTGTTACGTGCCGCAGCTTCTTTGATTTGATTCAAGGACAAACGAATTAATTTTCGACTGTGTTCTGTTTGCACGATGTGGATTTTGTTCTTGGGAACATATTTGACTGAAATTTGGTCTGAAGCTTCCTTGGTATGATTCAAGGACAAAATGCTTAAATTGAGTGGATCTGGATTATTTTGAAGAACTTGCTGATTACTCTGACATTGAGACCCCAGATGATGCGATTTCGTTCTGATTGAGCTCTCGGTCAACAGTGCGGATCCGTGTAATGTGCTTTCCTGCGGATGTTTCTGGAAGAAAAACGTGAATGGCTTTTAATGAGATTTGTAATGAAGCTTCTTGGGTGTGATTTACGGACAAACTATTGACGGTCTTGTCAATCTGCGGTAAAGATCAGGAAGAGAAGCCATGGATGTTACCAAAAATTGTGCAAGGCTTCCAATGAAAATTGCTTTGAGAGCCAAGGATGTGGATTTTTTTTTTTTATGTTTAGTTGATTTTTTTTCCAACATGTAAAATGTCAGCCGCAGTGAATGAATCAAGAACAAGTGATCCAGTGTGACAATTGCGATCTTTTAGTTGAATTTATCATGGTCTTTATCAGAATTTGTGAATGTATTTTCTTGAAATGTGATCTGTAAACTTGATTGGAGCCAAGGACACAAGCATGAATCGATTACTTTTGATGATATTCTAAGGCTCTTTTTTTTTTTTTTTTCAAAATTAACGAAATGATTTCAGCTAAATATGGTTTGTAGCTTTGGTAAGACCAAACAAAAAAATGATCAGGATAAGACACAAGGAAGCTTTCTCAAATAATTCAAGAGGTCTACTGCTGGGTAATATGTAGACGGCCCTCCAAGTGCAGCGAAGCCCCACAAATCGGAAATGTTTAGGGCCTTTATTTAGGCGCAGCATATGTGCCCTTACGAGTGTTATTTTGGTTTTGCCTGAGGACCCCCTGTAATGAACACATTGGACACCACTCCCCTTTCAAGTCCTTTTCTCCGTCTACTTCCTGCAAAGAATCTCAAGTCTAACACCTACAGACAGAAATGCCATTCAAATCACGGCCCTCCCATGTAAAATGAGAGTCATACAATCCAAACCAACAGCCCGCAGGGAACAAAAGCCAACCGCTCCTCAAAAGGTAGAAACCTGGAGATAAAAGACGTTTTGTCCATGTTCCTCAGTTGTCTAGACAATACAACACGCCCCTGGCCACCTGCTCCGACTTCTCAGCTGACAAGCGCCGCCGTGTACCTCTGTGATAAATTTCCTGTTTACACGAGTCCGCCAGCGCCAGAAACAATGCGCCGGGCTTCTCCGCCGCCTGGGCCTCCTTCTCCTTGACCGCCCCCAACAAATCACACTTGGAGGATATCTGGAAAACATTCATTGGTTGGGGTCCTTGACAGTCGCCACGGCTGCGTAATGTTCATACTGCGGAGGAATGTCATGGTGAGTCAGGACGATGAAGTCCTGACCTATAATTATTCCCCGTCGGTCACTGACATGGTGGGGTCAGGCCCTGGACAGCTGGGGCAACATCCTGCCGAGATTCCCTGCTTTGGGGATGCTGTCACAAAACCAAATTAGATCCTCGATGAATCCGTGAATGTGGTGGCCCTGTCAACGTTTTATTGATGGACAAGGGAAGTCACCAGAGGAAAAAAAACAAAACAAAAAAAAAACATTTTGGAAGTGGTGTAGAGTCATGACAGTCTTAATAAATTACCACCGCAGGTGTTTGCCTTCAGTCTACAAGTCAAGGTCTTATTTACAGGTTGCCACGAACAGCAGATTGAGACCGGTTGTATTGATCATTCCTCGTAAGCACCACAGCGATTTAATCATCCCCCTACCAAAACGGAATGATGCACTGGCAAGGAATAATTCACTTTTTAATCAACGCTTGGCCAAACAGAATGTTCTATTACGCACAACAGGACTGGGAAGCAGCTGATGCATGCCCCGGCCAAGCTGGTGCTCATTTTTACCCCATGAAAGGAAGATTCCTCATTTCCTCGCCGCTTTCATGCATACATTTTTCATTCTTATCTGTACTTTTTTTTGGGGGGGGAGTGAAAAAGATTCTCTGGAGACGTGATCGTACAATCACAAATTCCTTTGAAGACGTTTGACCAGTACCCTTGACTTTAAAAGCTCAGCACTTACTGGAACTGGATGTCAAATTAAAGCCCTTTAATGATAAATTCCCTCCAAAGGTCTCATGGGATTTTTTTTTTCCTTCTGGATTACATTGTGGGAAACGGCTTTGAACTTGACATTGAACTTGAGCAGACTTTATGCCTGCCGACCCCCTCAAGTCTGGCTGAATCCCACAGCCTCGCAGCGTCCACAAGTGAACCTCCGATCCAGGCTATTAACTGGCATGAAAGTCCTTTATGACTCCAATCCAAAATTTTTCATTACGTTTTTTTTTTATGGCCTATTCCTGTGCTGTATCAAATAAGACGGAGATAAGGCTGTGGGGTTTTAACTGACTGAATTTAATTTGAACAATAGATCAGATGACCTCGTGCTACTTGGCAAGAGAATTATTGCCTCACTTGCCTGGACTTGCGGATATTATCAAACCATCGCATGAGATCAAAAACTAATATGTCTGAAAAGCGTATAATGACGTGTCAACATACTGATTTAGGGGTGTTACCTGGAGGCACAAAAGTAACCTCCAATAGTAGAACACAAGGTGGTGAACGTAACCAGCCCTTGTGCAATCACGATTGCTGCGAAATGCGAATGTGGTATTTCAAACTGAGGAGCCCCTGAACTGTATTTAGCTCCATTCATCAAATATATCAAAAAACGTGACTTGCTAAGCACAGGTGTCAAACTCTGGTCCTCGAGGACCACTATCCTATATGTTATGTTTCTCTGTTCCAACATACCCATTCAAACGGCAGTGTGATAACGCTCCTGATCACTTGAATCAGGTGTGTTGGATGTGGGAAACTTCTCACACATGCAGGATAGTTGCCTCCCCCATCTTTTTTCATGTTCAAACATTTTTGAAAAAGCTCCAGGGAGCCACTAGGGTGGTGCTAAAGAGCTGCATGCGGCTCCAGAGCCGCAGGGTGCCGACCCCCGGGCTAGTCGATAGGTGAATGTGAATGCGAGTGCGAATGATGTTTGTCTATACGCTGTTATTGGCCAGTGGCTAGTCACCTGGGACTGGCTCGGGCTCATTCGTGACTCTCATGAGAAAAGTGAAAATGGATGGATGGAAGGATTTAGTTGTATGGAATTCATTTCATTGCATTTGAAATAGGCTGGTCCTATGCAAAAGTCCAGTGGAGGGTTGAGACGACTCACCTCATTGCATCAGTAGGTAGCATAGGACTCTTCTTCCGAACGATGGTGTGGAACTGCACTGTTTTGGGACTGTGGCTTGCAAATGTAATTTTGGAAACAAAAAAAAAAAATTGCTTGCGGCAACAGCCTGGATAGTCTTGCATTTACCCCTCGTGTCTTCTTGTGTGGCATGGCTTTCACGCCATCATGTTTTTTTCTCAGATGAAACCTGTGAGTTTGCGGGCACCCGCTGCCGCGAGAATAAAAAAAGAAGACAAAGCACAAACATGAATTCAAGTATTCACGAGCGTGACCTAAAACCCCTGCTGCTCTCAATCTGCTTTGCACTAATATCGATTCAACGTATGCATCCGCAAATCCTCTTACGGCGCCTGTTTACCATCCGGCAAGGCCAAAAACACCCCACCCCGCCCCCCACCCTATTGTTTTCATCTCTTTCATGTATTCATCAGCTGACCGATTCATCTGAAGCCTCTTTCGCACTCGCCACATAAACGCAATTAACCTGGCCGAGAGTGACAACATCATTCCTCACGGTGATAGAAGTCAGGAAATGACCCGCTGCTCTCTCACTCAACGGATATTTACAATGGACAGCACAACACTGGTAGTGAATGATGGGCCCCCACCGTCGCGAGTGCAAGGTGGCACTTCCATTGCAATTAGGGGGAAATGGTCACTATCTGCAGCCCTCGCAGGCATGCTGACATCAGTTCTCGCCTCAATAGCCTCAGGGATGTCTGTTGAGAGATCAAACGGCTCGTAAGAAGAGCTGAGGTCGCCGCGTTGGGCTGAAACTGACCAGAGGCTCGCCCTGTGGGGAACTGGAGGGCTGACCCCACTTTTCTGCTTGAGTTACACACACTTAAAGCGCCTCATTTGTGTGTGTGTGTGTGTGTGTGTGTGTGTGTGTGTGTGTGTGTGTGCGTGTGCGCGCGATCACAAAAAGCTCTGGCTTAAAGCAAGGCATGGCTTCAATTAGATGTCATAAGTCTGATTTTTCTCTTCTTTGTAGGGGGAAAAAATGTAAAAAAGTCCAAATTTTTAAGAAAACTAATAGCTTCTGAAAAAGTCAATCTTGTGAGAATGTATAAATAAAGAAAAACATTTTTTTTGTATACAAAATGCTTTTTGTCTTTCTTTGGGTAGTCTCTGGGTGCTATTAACATTGGTGTGATGAACTGAAACCTTTGTGTGTGATAAATATGCAAAGAACACAGAAATCAGGGAGGGGGCAAATACTATTTCATAGCACGGTATTATCTATCCATTTGTTGATCTACTGACCTAAAAAAAAACACATTTTTCTCAACAGGAAAATAGAATATTTCTTGGCCCCGTGCCCGCTGTTCGGGCATCCGCGCCTTAAAGAATGTGTTAATTGTGACAGCAATATTGTGAGCGCATTTTAATCTTTTAATAAGTCCATGCGGTGTGATGACAGGTGCTACTTTTCTCCACAGAACAACGGATCCTTGGTGTGGTGCCAGAATCATAAGCAGTGCTCCAAGGTAATGTGGTTACACTCCTGTCATGAATGCGATGCATGCGTGCCTCATTATCTCGGGGGGGCTAGGGGATGATACAACATAAAGTGCAGGAGTCACGGCACGACTAGTTTAGTCACGCCCGCAGGAATCGCTCCCAGACAGTTTCACGCAAAACCAAAAAAATCTTCATCATTCAGACTCGAAATTATTCTTAAGAGTTCATGTTGGGTTTTTCGGATTCTTGTTATTCGGAATGTGGATAAGAATGCATTGTTACACACACACACACACACACTCCCCCTGCAGGGCTTGTTTGTGTTTCTTGCCCTCGTCCCTAAGAAGTCTGATATAAAGCTGCTGCTGACAGCTCGCCTGAAAAGATGGTGCTGACAGGCCCGTCTGGATCTGTTGACAGGGCCCTCAGAGATGTATCGAGCAAGAATACTAAGAACGCCACGCCAGCACAGCGTGGTCCAACTTATGAAACGTGAACAATGCCCACTCCAGCTGTCAGAACCGCTCAACCAGAATTTAGTGCTGTTTGGCCCACGTGGATTCGAAATAAAACACTTTGGCTGAGGAGGGTTTTGTCCTCCTCCTTGGTTTTGCTCCACAATATGGGCATCTCTGTACAGATACATGTCAGCTGAGGAGTGGTGAAGGTACAGTAAAATATATGCGGTAGCACACAATGAAACAGAATACCCTTCAACATGTTATTAGATCAATATCGTAGTCAATCATCCATTTTCTATACTGTTTGCCCTCATTCGGGTGGCAGGAGAGCAGCCAATCACAGTGCATGTAAAAACAACCATTTAGACCAGTGGTCCCCAACCCCCGGACCGCGGACCGGTACCGGTCCATGGGTCATTTGGTACCGGGCCGCACAGAAAGAATAAATAATTTACATGACAACATCTTACTTTTTATTTTGGAATCTGAAAGATGTTTTATTTTGAAAATTTACCGGATTCTCTGTTACATCCGTCTATAGTATGTCACTCTTGACGCAGGTCAAGGCGCGCTTCTCGTCACATGATAGGTTACCGATAAAATGAAACCCAGGAGCTGAGTAAAAAACAAACATCTTTGGAAAGTTTCTTTGGGAAGGGGAAAATGACCAGCCAGGAGACAGAAGAACAACTTTCAAGAAAGAGAAGGCTACATTTAATAGACAGTATCAGGAGTCCTACTTAAAATACCGATTTATCTCAAGGGGAGACTCCCACACACCAAGCCTACTCTGCATAATATGTGGCAATGGTGAGTCGTATTTTTCATGCACTTTTTTATTTGCGGTGTATAGTATCTTATTTTCAAGGCATGTTTAAACATTACCATAGCGACCTGAGAGCGTTGCGGCCTGATCGGACATTCCTCGTGTCATGATTCGTGTTTGTTCGAAAATATCATAGTTTTCATGCAGGGCACATCATATTATTTTGTTGTATTTATTCGCCACACCTTTAAGGCCGGCGGCCCGGTGATCCAGTGGTTAGTGTGTCGACCTCATAGTGCAGAGGTACCGGGTTCAATCCCAGCTCCGGCCTCCCTGTGTGGAGTTTGTATGTTCTCCCTGGGCCTGCGTGGGTTTTCTCCGGGTACTCCGGTTTCCTCCCACATTCCAAAAACATGCATGGCAGGCCGATTGAACACTCTAAATTGTCCCTAGGTGTGAGTGTGAGCGCTCATGGTTGTTCGTCTCTGTGTGCACCGCGATTGGCTGGCAACCTGTTCAGGGTGTCCCCCGCCTACTGCCCGAAGACAGCTGGGATAGGCTCCAGCACCCACCGCGACCCTTGTGAGGATAAAGCGGATCGGAAAAGGGGAATTACCTTAAAGGCCGGTCCCTGAAAGTATTGTTTGACGTTAAACCGGTCCGTGGAGCAAAAAAGGTTGGGGACCGCTGATTTAGACTGACTGCTGTCCGAGCGGAATGCCTCATCCGTTTTGCAGAAAGTTAATGAAGCATTTTCATTCGTGTTGACCCGAATGTATCTCAACACGGCTGACATGGCTCCTACTCCACCGGACCGGAAGGTGTATGTCAGGCTAGTGACGTAGTATCGGGGGTCGTAATATTGAGTTTAAGTACAGACGTACTGTATTGGGTGTCGGCGCGTCCCTCGATTCTATTCTCCCATGCTCAAAAAGTGCTACACATTTTGTGGAGCAAAAACGTGTTTAAGGCGTATTCATTTCATTCAAAATAAACTTTTTTTTTTCAAAGGAATCACTGCAGTGTGTTTTTTAGGGTTAAGAAATTGTAATAAATTCTTGTACAAATAAGCGGAGCGTTTTGCATCGTCACATTATACGCGGCATGTGGTAGACCCAAAGTCGTAGCGTATAGTGTATGATTTAATTTTCCTTAAACAAATTTCCCTCTAACCCTCAGTGGCGTCCCTCCAAAGCGTACATGCTGAGAAACTCAATAAATGACGCTAATTAAGTGGAAATGCAGGAAAAGGCACAGTGGCAGGCATACTTAGTTGAATATGGCTTCACAGCTGGTGACGGTGTTGATCACCCTCAGTGTCTCGGCACAACTTCCTTCACAAAATCCCTGCTGGAATCACCAGAGGATGCAAAAGTAATCATGCATGATTGATGGATATCTTATTTTTTTAGATTTTAGTTTGTTCATTTCAGACGAGAAAATGAAATGTCATTTCTTGCGTCATTATTTTATGCTGAGTGACATTATGAAAACCTTTTTTGGTCTGTTGACTTGGTTTGAACCACTGCTGCACTAGATTCTATAGAAAGGGGTATTGAGGGGACTTTATTCAAATAAATGAGAATTTTTTTTCTTTTTCATGCTTTGCTGAGGTATCAGATCAGGACTCTGTGTCACATCGGATTCCCTTTTTTGAGAGCTTGTTAGCATTGGATTTACTTGATCAAAACATGTTCCCATCGCTTTGCTTATGCTAAGAACTGAGGAATAAAAGTAAGAAGAATTTTGAAGGCCAGAAGCTGTTTTTTTTTAGACCGGCATAATGTTACACATACACCAATTATCTGTTTTCAAATGTATGAATTGTAAGTAAAAAGTTGCCGGAAAAATGAACACGTACAGCGCAGATCCCTGAAAGATGTACTGAAGTCCAAATCCTTGGTTATTTCCCATCACTGTGACTCACATATGAGATTTTGAAACAGCGGCGCTGTTGTGCATGTACGCAGAGTACACCCCATGCGCATTACCTAGTGCGGTGTGTCACACCAATAAAATGTCCTCATCGGTGTGGAAAATGGTAATTTAGCAAAGAAAAGCATGTTGCCTGACAGCCTCTTTAACAAATAATGGGATTTATTGCTTAAAATCCTACTGTGACCCCTTGAGTGCTTTAAAGTTAACAGCGGAGGCCAACCTCCTCGGCGCTGTGAAGACGCTCGATTCTCTGCTTTCCACTCCCATGGCCAATATCGACTCTTGGCACTCTTGCATTCCCTCGTCATTCGGCAGTTTTGTTTTTGAAAGGGCTTTTTTTTTTTTTTTTGCGAGCTACTAAATCCAAAGTGTGGAACGGTGCCCATACCGAAGCAACGGTCCAAATGTTTTTCGCGTCTTTGTGTGTAGCCTGTGACCGCGATTAAAACAACCAAGTGCTCTTCAAATGTTGGTTTAATTGCATCTTGGGCCCATCAGGATGCAAGCCAGGGATTCATTCAAGGCCAGGAGTCAATATTTGTTTGCAAATAGGAGCACACTTGAGGGCCTCGAGTACCCACTGAGGGCCTGCGCGCGAACAATCGTGACAAATGCGGTACAGTGGCTCCCTGTGAATAGCTACGGAGTCGCTGATTAGCCTCTCCTCTTCATGAAGAGCGCCCAGTCAAACAGAGGGGACAAAGGCCGCTGGCTCCCCTGGGATGGTGGAGGGGACGCAAGGCCGCTCCAGCCAGCAGCCACCACAGAGGGGAAGCAAATGTGAGGATGGAGCTGCCTAATAATTCAGACAAAGACACGTTGACCTCCCCGCTCCATCTGTCTGCTTTTGAGGAACTCCGAGCCTCCTCTTTCCACACGGCTCCACAAAGTCATCGCGGTCAACTTCGCATGCGGCGTCCGGCGAGTCGCAGGGTTGCCTTTTTTATCATGCTAATTTGCTCTCTCTGCACAGCGGAGCGTTGTGGCATTTGGGGTCTTTTATCGTGCTGTCACAGCGCACCACCAAGTCCATTGAGTGAGGAGGGCAAAGTTCTTTCTCTCGCCTATTGTGTTCCCCCCAACCACCCAACTGCTCCGAGACGACCAAAAACTCGGAGGTCTCCAGGGCACCAAGTTGAATATTAGACTCCAACCACCCCTGCTTAATGCCATCTTTTGCAGGGTCACAAAGGGCTACAGCTCATTCCAGTTGACATTGGGAACGGGTTTAGCGGGCGTTTGGTCCCCAACCTTTTTCTCCCCAAGGGACCATTGGCTTGCGTGGGTTTTCTCCGGGCACTATGACCTCCTCCCACATTCCGCATGTTAGGCCAATTGAAGACTCTAAATTATCCATTAGGCTGAATATGACGGTGAATGGTCGATTGTGTGTACTCATTGCAACATTCTCTCAAACTGAGGCATTGCATATCAAATTGAATCATAATCCCATTAAACGGAACCGAATCGAATCGTCCCATTTTAAAATGAGCCATGCTTGGATCTTCTCACAACCCATTTCTTGAAAGACATATCGAATCGTTTTTAATTGGAGATATACAACGCTGATAGCTACCACAACAAGTGGGGGTCATAATATTTTCATGTACATGCAGTCCAAGGTATTCAAAATAGCGTTTTGGATAAGACCAAGGTCAACTCCTGACCTTGAATGCATGTCACAGTGCTTTCAATCATTTTTTTTTTTGTCAGGTTGAATCGGCAACGGAAAACACGAAAAGTGTATTCGTACTCCGCACACGAGAGTGGGAGAATTTTGTCGTTTCGAAAATGCCTTGTGTAGTCTACTCTAGTGCACATATTTGGGTTGGCAATTTGTCACAGAAACTATATACTTCAC